TGAGGGGAGAGAGGAAAGACTGGGGTGTCAGCCGAGCCTGGGAGAGGGACTACCTGGCTAATGTAAGAGTCAGAACACACACACACACACACACAACTCAGCAGTACCACACGTCCCTCACATCATGTTGACTTACTGTAAATAAATCAAATAAATAACTGATAAATTCCTTTTTCCAACTCAAATCTATCACAATAAAAATCACTGGCCCCCCTGACGGCGTATGGAATGTTGTGGTGATGTATGTGATGCATGTGACGAGCCTCACGGTAAACAGCGTGACCGGAGCGGGACGACGCTGCTTGTGAACACAGCTGCTTTTAATGAAGCCCACACTGGACTCTTTTACCAGATAATCTGAGGTTATTTGGTGGCCGCCGGCTTGAAAGGCTCCTTCAGGGAGCGTGAGCACGACTGAGAGTCCTGAGTCACTCGCCTCGTTAGTCGGTCAGGCGGCCTGTGACACGCTGGCCTCCTTCAGGGCCTCTTCACGTGATTGTGGTTAATTCCATAAAGACCTATAGATAAGTGCATGTAATGCGGCACACGGTCAGCCCGAGCCGTGTGTAGGTGGATGACGCAGTTCGAGAACAAGGAGAATGACTGGAAATGGGACAGTTCCACCATTTAGTGCCTCAGGTTTTCTCGGAAACCAAGATTCGACAAGTCGATGCTCTGGATTAGCGCTGGTGTTAGAGGTCGAGGCAGAGAGGCTGCTGGTGTGTGAGAGAAGACGACAACACAAATATAAAGGATAGTTTTCACGTCTAACTTACAAAACATCACATCAGAGCCCAACTGGTTTATATGAATATTTACGTAAAGTAGATCGATTTTTCTCAAAGATGGCTTCTGTTTCTGATGACTTTGCTTTTAATCAGTTATTGTGTCATGAAGTTGCTGTGGGAAGCAAAACGTTTCAGCTCTGAGATTTCTCCTCGCTGGAACGAATGATGGACCGAGCTCAGTCATCCAACCATAGTCCTGTAGTGGCTCTGAGGAGGAACAGTCACATAGGATTGAAGGCGTTATTATAATGGCTCTATAGCAGGGAGACAATGACACGGTTTTAAATTTCCTTCTCGACTGCCCATGACTGTATTTCTCATCAGGCCGTTTAGCTCCGATATCAGCCGCCCTGCTCCCCCCTCTAACGGCATGTCAAACAGCGTGTCTGGTAACAGCAGCCCGAGGCCCCGAGCTTTCATCTTCCACTCGCGGAATTAAAGCGATAAAAAAAAAAAAGCTCGAAAGAGGCCGAGCGGGGTCACCGAGTGTTTTACAACGACGACTAAGTTCCCAAACCATCTGAGCCTCTCGCAGTAATGTGGGCCTTTTGATTTCCGCAGGTACAAGACTGCCCCCAGACCAGCTCCAACTTCATCCGCACTTCCAAGGAGCTGAGGAACAAAAACGAGTACAGCGGGGTCCTCTTCTCCAGCTTCTGCAGGAAGGTACAGTACGAGGGAAACGAACACCGTGAAATGAAAAATCTGTGTAGTAGCCACAAGGAGTTTCTTTCCTTTTGTTGCTTCCTTTTTTGCTGTGGGATGTTTTTCTCACTTGCTGTTTTCCCCCCCTCTCCACCCCCTCACACTTTTCCTCCTTTGTATGAGCTCGTCTTTCAATATTTCATGTTCCAACAGTGAACACAACCCTCTCAGGCAGGAGGAGAAAATATAATCAAAGGATTAATCATAAAAGGGACTGTATTCATTCATAAACTTTTCTTAACCTCTAAAAGTCTTCAGTTCTTTTTACTTCACCTCATGATGAACTTGAACTTATCATCTCCCTCTGGATAATAATGACCATCTCCTCTCAGTCGGGGATTGATTCTGGGTAAAGCTTAAGATTTTATGTATCTGAAGAAATCTGGGTTTTGACGAAGTGAATAAAAAAACCTCCTGAAACTGACACATCAGAGCCTTTGATTTGTCTTTGTTGTTTACGTGTTGCAGCTCCGTAAGGACACGTAGAGATAATAACCCAGCAGCTTCCACGAGTAGCAAACAAAGCTCTTAACAGGAAAATAGAAAAAGGAACAAATGCTGCGTATCTTATCTTTTCTTCTTTCTGTTTCCCTCCCTCGCTCTCTCAGGTGAATAGATTCAACAGAAGCACGGATCGCGGCCTGCTCGTCACAGACAAGTACGTCTACAAATTAGAGCCGAAGAAACAGTACAAGGTTTTGAAGAGGCTTCCTTTAGAGGCGGTGAGTGCTCACGTGGGAGAAGAAACGCACACTCGCACATATTCATGCACAAAGAAACACGACACATACGTCTCATCTGTGGACTCGTAACTGATTTTCATCATCATTATTAACATCGTCTCAGTTTGTCCAGTCTGGCTACTGCAGCCGCCCTGAGAGGACACGCAGGGTAAATGAAGGATGGATGATCTCTGCAGGGAATTGAGATGATGATGATGACGACTAAACTGAAAGATAATAGAGATAGAATAATGCCACAGTTAAGAGTAGTCCAGGGATTTATTAATGCACTCGTGAAACAGAGAAATCAAACCCTGAAACATCCGACCTCCGATGTGTCACTTCCCCTTTAAACAGCATTGAACTGTTAAACAATGAACTGTGAAACCTCAGAGAGGAACAAATGAACAAAGTGGTGGGGACCAGTGTGGGTTTTAAGATGCGTGTCCCCACATGATGACCTGCACGGCTCTGAATGTGGGTCAGACTCGCTGCAGCTCTCCCTTATTCCTCACTCCGTCCTCTCGCTCCCATTGTTTCACTCCACAAACACACACGTCCTCCATCATGTTTGACCTGTGTCACTGCCGTCCATCAATAAGAGACACACAGAGAACCTGGTGGCTCAAGGGGCTCCTGACCTGGATTTTCAGAGTCAACGCGTGTGTGTGTATGTGCACGTCGGAGTGTGCGACGCGGCGTTCGTGCTCCAACAACAGCGGCGGTCTGGCTTATCTCAAGGTTTTTCTGCCGTCTGGGGCGAACCTGGCTCATTTCCTGGCCTGATGTGAGAAACTGGATCAGGGAAGTCACCGGGGAGAGGAAGTGAAGAGTGAGACAGATAGATGGCAGCTTCATTTAACCTGATCCCAGGTCCTTTCAAAAAGCTTTTACATCATGATTTTCTTTCCAGGGGTTGATGTGTTTCTGAGCGAACAGGATGCTGAGGACTTGATGTAGAGGTTTAAGAAAAGAAGAACTGATTTCCTTCAGATGTTTGCAGTCATCCACAAACAACCTCTAACACCAGAGGAAAGAAAAAACCAAAGAGGCCTAATGTCTCCTTTCAATTTAAAATAAATGAACAGATCTTATAATGCATGAGGG